TTTCTCCATATCTGTCGGACTCAAGAACGACAAATCCTCCCTCCTTATCGGAAATGCATAGCTTTAAATCCCGGCTTCTTAATTCTTGAATTGTAGACCCAAAGCTCACCTTTGGCTTAGCTTGGTGCTGAAGGCTGGAAAATACTTGGATTCCTTCATCAATAATTTGAGAGCTTCTTTCCTGTGGAGCTTTTGCGGCAATTTGCCGTATTATGGCTACCTTGTCTACAGCTTCAAGCTTGGGAGCTATGGCAAACTTTGGTCCTTGTTCCAGCACCTTCCGAGCTTGTTCTGAAATGTGCACATTCCCTATAAGCTGGAGCGGTGTCTTTTGCAGAACCGTCTTGCGTTGCCGGTGTAGTTCCAGATGATGAATTTCAATATCAATTTCAACCTCCTTGGCCCACCAGGCTTGAGGCTCATGATTGCAACGTCCATCTGCCAAGCAAGGCTGCTCACTCGCAGCATACAAAAGAAGATCATCCTGGAAGAGGTAAAGTGTTTTTTCGGGGCTCTACAACCATCACACGCGCACGCACAACGGGTGTCCAAGATTCTTCGGTCTGAAAAATGGCGCCAAGTGCGACTACTCACCGACTTTCTGCGAGTCAAGTCTCCGACCCGCAACGAATTTTCCAATCATGTCATCATGACGCAAAACACAACGGAGATCCTCTGGAAGAAGAACTTTCTCCCCATTTGGCGTCATCATCTGGAACTACACCGGCAACGCAAGACGGTTCTGCAAAAGACACCGCTCCAGCTTATAGGGAATGTGCACATTTCAGAACAAGCTCGGAAGGTGCTGGAACAAGGACCAAAGTTTGCCATAGCTCCCAAGCTTGAAGCTGTAGACAAGGTAGCCATAATACGGCAAATTGCCGCAAAAGCTCCACAGGAAAGAAGCTCTCAAATTATTGATGAAGGAATCCAAGTATTTTCCAGCCTTCAGCACCAAGCTAAGCCAAAGGTGAGCTTTGGGTCTACAATTCAAGAATTAAGAAGCCGGGATTTAAAGCTATGCATTTCCGATAAGGAGGGAGGATTTGTCGTTCTGGAGTCCGACAGATATGGAGAAAAAGCCCATCAGGCCATGATCAAGAATTTTATGCCAGTAGCAGAGAAAAGGACAAAAGTAGCAAAGAAGGCCATTCTCAAGTTGCTAGACGAACACCAACAAGCTAGTCTCAGCACCAGGATCAAAGGGGCAAAAAATGACCAACTTTCTGTCTTCTTCTCAGCCAAGACTCACAAAGAAGGTGTTCCATTTCGGGCTATTGTATCCGAAAGAAACACTTGGCAAGAATGCGTATCGAGGTTTCTTGCCCAGCAACTCTCCAAAATACCAGTAGAAGACCCCTTCAGGATACCTAACTCAGAGCACGTGATCGCATTTCTTCATGAACAAGGAAACCTAATTGTTTCTAGGTTCTCGATTGACGTACAGGATATGTACTACTCAATTCCGCACGATAACCTTTTACGTGTTCTTCAAACCAGCATTGAGGAACAAGGGCTTACCACGTTTCAAAATGCAGCAGGGATGAGCCTGGGCACCTTCTTGGAACTTTTAGGCTTCTACTTGTCCGCAACGGTGGTGGCCCACCAAGAACATCACTATGTGCAGAAGAGTGGGGTATGCATCGGATCCCAAGTGGCTCCGTTTTTATGCGAAATTTTGCTCGCTGCCTGTGGAACAACTATCCAAAAAGTCATAAATGATCCACGAATATCAGTCATTTTTCGCTATGTGGATGACTTTCTTATTTTATGCTCCACTGCAATTGAAGAAGAAAATGGATGCCTCGACTCCATAATGACATACTTCCAAAACAGCTGCATGGGCCTCACTTTCACCCATGAGCTTCCCATCAAAAAAACTATTAGGTTCCTTGACCTGGTGTTGGAGTTTCAAAAAGATCATGTTTGTTGGAGGTACCAGGCGCGCTCGAATAAAGGGTTTCTTCCCTTCGAGTCCCAGCATTCCAAAATCGTCAAACAAGGAATAGTCGCCACGGCCCTTCTGGCCAGCCTCAAAAAGACTTGCCCCCACCAAATACAACAAAGCTTCAATACACAAGTTTCAAGACTTCAGGACGCCGGTTACCCAGAGTCTTTATTGGCCTCCATTTGCGAAAAAATCATTCGCACCATCAAGAAGAAAGACGACCCCACAGCAAAAAAGAAACATGCACGGAAACCTTTTGTGGTGGTCCCATATATACATGGGGTTACCCACAAGTTAAAAAAGATCGCCAGGCGACAAGACGTGCAAGTTGTGTGCTCGGCACCCAACAAAGCGTATTCAATGTGCCGGAAGATCAACCAGTCATCGACCAACCAGATCAGTCAATGTAACACCAGGCACAAGACACAATTCGCCTCGTGCGAAAAAGAGGTTGTTTACAGCATACGACTGACATGTGGGCGCTGCTACATTGGGCAAACGGGACGCTACATCAACGAGCGTACACGTGAGCACGCAGCCAACCTAAAGAACCTGACAGCGCCGGGGCACCTATCTGCGCATTGCCGAGCATGCAAGTGCACGGCGAAGCTCGCGCAAGTTAACATCGTAGCACGCCACAAAAGCCAGCTCGCGCGGGAGATGTTAGAAGCTGCTGCCATAGAAGAAAAAGGAGATGGGTGTGTTAGTGCACCTTCAATCACCTTGTTGCGCACCGAAAAACTATTTCTCCGAGGGGGTCAACATCTTGTAAAATAAAACGTAAAACAAAGGGGAAAAGGGGGGAACGAAGTGAATTATGCAGAAGGAGAGGAAGAGGATGAAGAGGAGGTTTATATATAAAAACAGTTGGTAGTCCAGCGATTGGGTGTCTTTCTTTCTATCTCTACCTTTTCCTTAGTTCAGCTGGTTTTTTCATAATGAGTAACCAACTAGTTCAGATTACACCAATCTATACTAACCTCTCTTCTGAATTGAATTTCTCGGTATAAGAGTTAATTTCGAATTATTGCATATTTCAATATGTGTCTCGCAGCGCAATTATTGAGCTAAAGAAGTTGTGCGCGGAAACTATATGCCACAGTACTTTAGGGTCCGGGCCCTCATGTCCCTCTATATGCCACAGTAATTTAGGGTCCGACAAGGTGTCCCAGGTATCGCTGTGACTTACTGTGGCCAATTTTTTCCCAGCAGCCTCGTCAAAATTTTACCTTTTGTGCCAACGTAAAAAATATGTAAGAATACGCGGAGACAGAATTTTGGTATTTTCGAGTAAGAAATAGAAACGGTGTTTGAGGTAGCTCTGTTTCTCTCCATCTTTCTCGCTCCGAGCAGAGAACGAGCAGCCAGATGAGGCTAAGCCACCGACGACGACGCGTCGGAACGTTTCTTTTGCTGGCGGCCGCAAGTCCTGGGACTCTGTCACCAGCGTCAGACGTGAGTGCACCGGCCATTGAATTTAACGAGGATGAGCGAACAGCATTTTTCGTATCGCGAAGGTGCTGGTACAAACCTGTTCATTAATATCCAGACCTCTGATCCTATAGCTGTCTCGTCGAACTAGGGGAGACGGAGAGTGTTTCTATGCCAGCAGATCACGGATTGGCGAAAAGTCGAAATCTTTCTGAACACTTAGCGTTGAAAGGGCTGATAACAAGCCTTGGCCTCGAAACTTGTGTTGTCCGGATGATCTCGTCCTGGCCGCCACCGGGCTACTAAAGTAAACGCCTTGGATAGAGCCAGTGTTCGTGACAATCCGACGTGAATCCAGAAGCAGGCGACGTGCACTTGCTGCCGGAAAGCTCGCTTATTTGTACGAAAAGGAATGCGTTCCGGCTGTCTTCTGCTGCACTTAAACAGCCTGCATTGGGGAGAGTGGAGAAGTGCTCGAACAGGGGCAGGCGGTTTGTGGGCCGCGTTTGCAATGCGAGCTGCCACGAGGTCCCGAAAGCGTCTATCGTCTGCAACCGTCTCCGCCTTCCCGCCTGCTTTCCTCCTCTTCACGCGAAGGCGCGTTGCAAGCGCACTTGTGACCAATTTCCGCAGGAGGCGCCCCGCCCTCCATTAAATTGCAAATGCACCCGATGGTCTGAGATTGCCCCTCTCTTCAGCACAGGCTCTCTAGCTGCACTCATTGACGGTGGCGCCATCTGAGATTTACTCCGGAATCCAGACGTACGCTTGTTTCAGCTAGGGCACCTCGATGCGTACATGTATCTAGTCCTATGACGACGCCGTACAGTATACGTTTTTGTCAAGTTGTTCTTGTAAGCCATAAAACGATTTTAATAAAATTTGTATGTCCGTTCGTTCATTTCCCCACTAAATTTGGAAAGTGAAATTGGTTTAACCGATTCGGGTTGCGTCAAAAGTGACAGTTCTCGAGGGGAAGCGTTGTTCCGGTAAATTTAGAAGGAAAATTGAACATACACCAAGTGACGGCACGTGACGTTATGTCTCGAGTTACGTGCGGTATCGAGTGATAACACAACTTGATATCATGATGTCGCATCATATGACAACGTCGCTTGACATCGGGTCATTGACGTCAATATGTCCACTCTTTACACGGCTGTTTAAAATCTTCTAAATAAATTTAAACGATCGCTCGTGAAATACTGCCCTTCAAGTAATATAGGACTTTAGAGAAAAAGGTCACTGGAAATTATTTTTGACTCCATCTTTTGAATGCGTAACTTAAGCTTTAAGATTTTAAAAGGTTATCCCACCCAACCGCTACCGCTACATATTAGTGGAGTCTGCGCTTTCGGCAATTCGTGTATTCACACGTTTTTTAAAAGTTTTTCTTTTTTTTTTGTGTGTGTGTGTGGGGGGGGGGGGGGGGAGGGGTGTGCGAAACCATGACTTGATACCCTGTATGGAAGACAGGATCCTGACATTGTCGCTGTGCCTAAAGAAAAAAAAAAGAAACTAACTCCCCGTAAGACACGGCATTTCCCGCGACTGTCTACGAACGACGTCTCTTTTGTGGCCCCTTCCAGGCCACTCCGGGGAAGCGAAGAAGCCCGAAGTGATGGACGAGTACTTCGAGTTCGAAGGCGCCCGCAAGTCCGTGGACGGGCCGCCGGACACGGACATCAGGTCGTCGCAGATCCTGGAGCACCTGCGGCGCAAGCACGAGCAGGCCCTCCGCGGAAAGGCGTCGTCGCTGACCACGGCCCTGATCATCGCGGGCATCTCGAGCGTGGCCCTGGCCCTGATCAAAATCACCATCAAGCGGCACGACACGATCAGCAGCACCGAGTGCGTGTTCTTCGTGGCTCTGGGCATCCTGATCGGCGTGATCCCGGCCACGACGGAGGACAGGTGCCCCTTCGGCCCGGCGTCGGCGCAGAGGCGGCTGGCCGTGTCGGCCGTCCTCACCACGCTCGCCTACATCCTGGGCTACAGGGCGGTCCAGTTCATGTCCGTGCTTGAGGCGACCATCGTGGCCGGCATCACGCCCCTGACCACCTGGTGGACGTCGGTGGCCATAGGCAGGCGCGCCTTCCACTGGGTCATGGTGCCCACGCTGGTCTCCAGCTGCCTGGCCCTCGTGTTCATCGTCAAGCCGCCCTTTCTGGGCTTCAAGGTATCAATCGCTGCACTGCACCGGAGGTTCCTTTGTGAAACTACCGCCATAGTTCCAATTGCAGCGAACGCGAGGCTGCCCGTCGGCGCCACTGGCGAGCAAAAAGGGCGGTCCTGCCTGCTCGCCCTGCCTCCGGACAGCCGAGCTCCAGATCGCGGCCTTTGCGTGATATACTGTCCCAACGCTCCTGTACTCCGCTTTCCCAAAAATCCGAGCGCAGCCGACGAAATGAGAGGGCAAAGTGAAACGTCAAGGTGTTCGTCATCTTTTTAGCCATCACTGGCTAATAAACCCCGATGAATAAGCCGGGAACTACTTCCATTCCAGTCCAGTTGAAGCCATCTCAGCTGAAGGGGCCCCGATAATTTCAACGCGATAGCGTTGAGGAGCTCGTGTAGCAGAAAAGCCGATATCGGTAGCGTGCACTAAAACCTAGGATTGGTCGATAGAGTCATGACGTCGCAGCCACGCGACCTCGGTGATATCAACACCGCCCAACGCGTGGTATAAAAGTGATTAGAAAACATGGACCCAAATTGCGAATGCCTCGAATGATTTTACTTTATCAAGTAATTCATTTTCCTTAAGGAAAACCTTTCAAGAATTTTAGGCGGGATTCGAACCCACGACCCTTTGGTTGAGAGCCGGAGACGCCACTGACGAGGCCACGCAAGGCAACAAGCGGGGGTGTATATGTTTTGGTATCGCGTTTCACTCTTCAAGGCGAAGTTTAGGCGTCCTCCAAGCTTTGGGGCTCCTTTGGAATTAGCGCTGAAACGGAGCTCATCGAACGCAGGAGCACGAATGGAAAGCTGTTTCCTGGAAATGCGATTTATATTGGGACCTTATAAGTAAATTACGACTACAAAAACACGCCAAGTGTTTTAGCGCCGCCGTGACGTATTAAGGATAATTGATTGATTAGAGGGTTGGAGCGAAGCGGCTGTCTCGCCGCTTCACTCCAGGACGGACCTGAATCTAGGACGGATACGCATCGTCCTAGATTCAGGATCCGGCGCTATGGCGCCGACGTGGAGGCCGCGGCCCGCTGGCCCCCCCGCACTAAAAAGAGCCCAAGGAGCCCATGAGCGCGCTCTGCCCCACATTGGGGTGTTTTAGTAGACCGTGTTTTCCCCTCCGCTAACCCCCCGCTACTAAGAAACCGCCACTGCGCCTGCGCGCCGATGGCCTTGGCTGTAGAGTTCCGGGTAGCGGAGGGGCTTAGCGGAGGGAGAAACACGGTCTACTAAAACTCGCTATTGTTTCCGTTACCGCTGGTCGGTACCAATGCGATCAGTGGAATCGAAGCAGCGATAGCTGCACCGGGAGAGGTTCAAATATTTCCCGCCCAGAATATGCGAAGACACGAAAGCGATAGCTGCAGCTGGTCGCGCAATGCGGCTGGAATGATGCCGTCACGTACCTGAGGACGGAGGTGCGATAAGCTGAATTCCCATAGCAGCCGTGGTTGACGTCATGGATGCCACTGACGACTGTCACCAGTGATCCCTGATATCAGTCACTGGGTAAGCGCGGTGGAAGTTTCTGAAACCATCAAACTTTATGCGTAGCAACTGGATACTGCCAAAGAGGGATTTCGCATAACGCGAGTGATGGGAGCCGCAAACTTATGCGATGTAAATGCTCCGTATAAAGCTTGCCAAAATGCAAAAAGGCAGTTGTTTAGAGTGAGTTATCCACTCCATTCCGCTGTAAGCGCTAGCGGTGTACTAGCGATCCCGACTTCGCATGCACGGACGCCCATGTCGTGGAAGAAGCGTCGTACAGAACGGCCAGCTCCTGCTTGGAGCATCGGCGTCGCTCCTATACTTACGGCTGCGTGCGAAGGTGCGGAGTACGCTCACTGGTCAAGTGGGGCGTACGTGCTCGCGTATAGCATGCTTTGTTTCGCACAAAGTTCATAAGCTTGCAACGCTCTCGCGCCTGCGGACGCGAGCATGTGGGTGTATCTATACCCCGATTTAACGTAAGAGCGAGCGAAGCCTCTGCGACAAGCACTAGTATGCTTTCTATCCACGCGTTAAAAATGAACAGTGAATCATCTGAAATCGTTGAGAATATAATTGCGATTCGGCGGGTTAATATGATGAATAAAAACGATTTGGGATTCCTGTGAAGTTGAAGGGGCGGACAGGTACCCACGAGACACTGACCGATAATAGAGAGTATTAGCTTACCGCCTACCGGGCGACCGGGGGGTTACCGCGACCGTCACTGCAGAACTGCGCATGCGCCAATTATGCCACGCTACTCGGTTTACCGCGTTTACCGTGAATGGCGACTGCCGGGCATCGGCTCCGACGGCCGGCGTAGACTAATCACTTACTGTTTTGGAATGGCGGGGGAGGCGTCTAGAAACAATCGTCGCACCACATAACATGGGAAAGGGCAAGTGAAGCGGCTCTGGTTGGCCTATAAAGGCTTTCGCCTACCCGAGGTCCATAGCAAAAATCCGGGCTTCCATGGCCGCCGGACAGGCCGGTTGAATAGATGGATGGTAACTGCTATGCCCCTTGTTTCGGGCGGCAACCTGAGCCACCTAGCCGACATTAGAGACTGGTGCTGATGGCAATGGAGCTGCGAATGCAAACAAGCAGCGTACAGGATTATGCTGTTTGCTTGCATTCGTGGGAGAACGGTGGCCGAGTGGGCTAACGCACCACAGCTCGGAGCACGTGTAGCGAAAGCTCGCGCTGCAGAACTCAGAGCCCTCGACGGATGCGTTTGGCTTGAGGCGCGACCAGTATCCAACAGCTTAGCTGACAAATTAAGTTAATTGGTCGTATACCAAGGAAGTACCACTATAACTACTCGTAATGAGGAAAATATTTTTTAAAAGTGGCTTTTTATGCGGCATTTGTCCAAATAAATGTACCGCTTTAAAAACGAACCACGCCGGTATTCACTATCATCATCATGACTTTTTCCAGCCGTTGGAGAAAGAAGAAACTTCCATAGGCGCGGTCAGGCGCGGTTACGGTATGCTAAAACGTTCTTTACCCGCTACGCTCTCGGTCCGGTACCGGCTCGATGGTCGCGGTCGCGGTAACCCCGGCGGTCGCCCGGTACGCGGTAAGCTAAAACTCTCTAATACAACTCGGTAGGGGCGATTGGGACAATTATTCAACGCACTTTTAGGATCCAGGGTTGGACGAACAGATCTAGAGTGGCTTCAGGGCGGTCGGATACGAACACGACCGGCATCGTGTCTCTCCAGCTGACCGAGACGTCGATACCGTCGAGACGCTTGGGAACATCCAGAGGACGCCTCCGTCGCAAACCGGAAGTTAAAAATGGGCAAGGAAATTTTTTTTTTTTTTTTGAAAAGGAGGGCAGAGAATGCGCCATGTTTACCAGTCTCCAGATAGAGGGGCTTTAGTGGCGCCAACACTGACCACCAGCGAGAGGCTGCCCGTGCCGCACGGCGACGTGGGGATCCCGAGGCGCGGCGAACGTGCTCAACCTATCGCTTTTATTTCGCACATTGTAGACGAAAAAGCACCCTTTTTTTGGCGTTCGGTGTTTTTCGGCATTACTTTATGATTTAGGAAGAAAAATGGGGGTTTATTGGGCTTTTGGAGTAGACGAAAGGGCACGGAAATCAAATTGCCCAACGCCCAGGTAACGTACCCGTGCCCCGAATAATTGGACACGTCCCGCGGTAATAGAAGGAAACGAGAGGAGTCTTCAAAAAAAGAAGCAGCCTCGAAGACAGTTCACTGAGGACTGTAAACGGGATAAAATAAAAAAAAAGCTTTCTTTCAAAAAAGCTCGTTTTTTTTTTTTTTTTTTTTCACGTAACACGTTTTTGATTTCGGTAAGTAGGGGTCGCTTGCTACAACCGGAGGAAACGAAAACATCTCCCACTAGTATCGCTTATATCTTTGCAACTATACTACCCGCGCGCCTTCCTTGCGTATCGTTGTGTAGTGGAAACAAGATACCACTCGATCATACATATTTCGCTTGTGCAGAGGGCGCCGTTGTCGCTTCACGCATGGCGCAACCAGAGCTAAATTAAGCCTCGCGCGCGGCCTTCACAAAGGCCTAGCTCGGCAGTACCTTTGTTGATCCGAGCAGGAGTGGTGACGTTTGAGAAAGCTCACTCCGCTATTATAGGTATAATTAATCGAATTCGAACCGGTGTTCATCAGGAGCTATAAGGCTCACGAGTGTGTAATTTGTAGCAGAAATTTAATTTTTGTTAGGCTATGGCGCCCCCGCGTTCGACACGTGGTACAGATATGGAGCGAAGATACTCTGGCGGCGAGAAAGAGGAATGCCAATCTTCGCCCCCCCCCCCCCCCCCCCCCCCCCCGTTTGACCACGTCGGCAGGCGCAGTAGCGAGCACGACTGCACGATTAGACCGTAAGGCCCCCACCATATTGCCGCCTGCATTACCGAGAAGGAAGGCTTCTCCATAATTCTAGAAGATTCGAGCTTACTCTTAGCCCGAGTGTAAAAGATAAGGAGGTCAGAGTGACCTTGCCTATAGTCGGTTACAGGTTAAGAAGGTAGCGGCAAACGCCCCTCAAAGGGAATCATATATCCCTCTGCCACCTCCGCATCCAATAGCGTCCCATCGTTTCGTGACGTCGCGGCCAACGCGCGAGGAGGTCTTGCCTTTCTGTACATATTGGCTTTATCTTTCGACTTTGACTTAGCATTGTGGAAGCCACGAGAGGGAGATTAAAGTTTTTCCCCGTCCGATGAAAACAAATACGACTTTCGGGGATTAGTTTCCCCCTCCGATGAATACAAAGGGTACTTTAGGGGCTCGGTTCCCCCTCCGATGAATACAAAGGTCGCTTTCTTAAAAAGTGGAATCGGAGACAAATTGGAATCCGTAGAAGCGGAACAAGGAGAGTTTCCAGTGAACTTTTCTTTCGACCGCGGAGAGATTTGAAACGGGCGCATCACGCTTGTAGGAGGAGCTTCTCCTACCTTCTTGACTTGTAACCGACTATACACGTTTGCAAGTCCGGCTTCAGGGCGCTGCCATCTTGCCTGTCTGGGGTGCGCTTGGACCAGTCATAATCCGATTGCGAAGCCTTGCTAAGGCGTCGTAATCGGATTATGGCCGCTCCCGAGAGCGCACCCCACTGAGGAAGATGGCGGCGCCCTGAGACCGGACTTGCAAACGTGTATAGTCAATCTCGCACTACCTCGCTCGCGAACTTTCTAGGTCGAATATTCGGAAGACCGAGCGCAGTTGATAAGAAGCCGAACGCGCTGTTGCCCAGGATGGGTGTCATGACGTCATGAGGCTAGCCTCCGCAAGGCAACCTTCTTTGTCGTGCTCACCTCTCCACCAAACTTCTCTCCCAACGCTATGATTCTGGGGACTTCTCGGAGCAACCACAAGACCGACATGTGACTGCTACGAGCCATCGGAGCCAATCTAAGGCCCTGAGAGCGTCACGTGACCTTAGAGACGGGGCATAGCGACGCGCGAAAAGCGTATCACGGGCTCCGCCCAAAGACCTGGATGGGCTAGGAATAGCTCGTAGCGTCCTCTGCGTCCGGACGTAAGATGAAACGGAGTATAGCAGCGAGGCATTTCTGCTGGTTTCTACGTTCAAATTAATCAGATCAGAGCCAAGGAGGCGGAAAAGAGCTGGGCGGCTTGTGGGGGCTTGTGGCGGTTTGTGGCCTTTGTCGTCCCGCATTTGTCGACCAGTGCAAGTGGAACTGGCAAACTCGAGCTTCGGAAATAAAGTGCACTTTTCATGTAACCATGCCCTCGTGGTAAGTGACCTCGGAACTCCGCAATGTAAGTGCACCAAGCAGGCGTACGTTTCGGCTGTAATGTCTGTACACACCGGCTATTTTCTGCTGTTCATGTTGTTTTCGGAGTGGGGGAATATGTAGTTTAAAGCCCACAAGAGCCGCGCACGTTATGATTGAAACGTTCATGTCGGTAAGGAACGAAGTAGCGGATTGCGTCCTTAAAGGGAAGGAGGGGCGGTTCTGGATTTGAGAAAAAAGACTTGAATTTTGCTCACTTGGGCGTTAGAATAACAAATATCACAATTATGTTTCGATGCGAGCCATTAGAGCACTTTCAAAATAGGGCTGAAGCCCCGCCTCCCTAGCCTTGGGCAGCCAAAAGATTCGTCGATGACGTCACGTACAGCGAGTGTCTTTCTCGTTTTCTCGCGTTTAACGATACTTGTGCAGCAAATGGTCTGGGTATTTGGGTTCACGGAGCAAAACACACTAGAATTCACTTCTAACTAATTTTTCTTTCGAGAAGCTCCGTAGGTTCCCTTTAAGATGCGCGTACCTCGAGCATCGTGACGATCGATCTCGATTGTAGCGTTCGGTCTGAGTAAGCTAATTCGTGCAAGTACGATTACATCCCAAAAAACATGTGTTTCGATTTGTTTTGCTTTCTAAATACGGTAAACCAACAGCCCTCGTTAGTTATTTTAGGTTTTAGAATCCCTGCGCTAATCCGGGTCCATTATATGGCTTTCAAGCGCTATAATATAGCTGTTTTATTTACTGTAAATATTATGATACAGAAAACATTTTTGGCACATGCGAGATAGCTGTTGAAATAATTAGCGTTGACTACAGCATTGGGCGGCAATCTGTTCATATATCAACAACATGTACATGTACAAAGGAAATTGTCTTATATTGACTAGACCCTGCAAAATAATTTTATAAAATATGTACTACATTCATAGCATATATGAACTAGCACTGGCAGGTTCTGTTCTAAATATTTGTAATTTTAGCTAAGACCCAGTCCTCTATGCCTATCAGTCTCGCGTCGATTTCGTTTCGCGCGGCGCGCAAGATGTTTGTTTGTTTATTTATTTCTCAGGAGGAAGGCACTCACCGATGAATCGAAATGGCAAGCACTCAAAGATGATTCGAAACACAAGCGGGTGCTCGTAGTAATCATCGTCACATCAAAGCCCTAATCCCCCGCGTGTCTATCAGACGATCGAGCAGAAGTGTGCACAGTGAACAGACACTTGGACGAACGCTCTTCAATTTGTCCCAACTTTGTCTTCGGTGTCGTATGATGCCTTAGCTCTTGTTCAATACTTCGAACGGTGTACTTCGTTGTCCGCGCTTCGCTGGTTCGGTTGGCTCCCCGTCTTTCAACGTCGCCGATGTCGCTCCTTTGAGCTCGTAAAACCTACCGGCTGCAGTGAGAACTTTAAACTCTACCATTCACCCGGCCGTTTCCAGCGGACTTCCTATCCGACCTTTTTATGACCAGGCATCAGCCCCATGACGTCATGCCACTCCCCTGGTATTGCCGGTTCATTTTCCCTCTCGCGCAAGCCAGCTGTCACGCCGACGCACCGTCGCTCGCTGCTGCCACCGTCTCCGCTTTCTCGACGTTTCTTTTGTTTCTGGTACAAGTTCGCCGATTAAACCTTTTTTTCATTTCATTGTCTATTCGCCTTCATCCATGACAATATAAGTTAAGCATGTAAGCATTGCAATCCGTGGATAAATTTAAGATGTGTATTTGGTTACGTCCTTTTTGTATCCTAGTGCCCATACACACTCTGCGGCACGCACAAGACGTTTCACACATACCAACTCCCCAATACAGCTTCCAGATTTTTTTACTATTGGGGAGAGCTGGAGTTCAGCGATTTTTGGGTTTTTTCGGTTTTGATAAAACCGGCTCGGGAGTTAATTTTCGTTGTTTATCGGTATTTACCGAAAACACGGAGCCCTATAGTTATGTTTTCACCAACTCATTTGTTCCCTGACTTTCTGTGTACAGCCTATTCGCTTGCGAGGGGAGGTGTGGGAAGTTGCCCCGAGGGCGACGTCATTGAGGTGTCTTGCAGAGCATGGTGCACCGGGACATGGGCATCGGCGCAGCCTGCGGCCTGTCCTCGACGCTGCTGGTGGGCGTCGAGAACGCCTTCAAGACGAACCTGCCCGGAGTGACGCGTCGCGCCGTGCTCTTCCACCTGTCGGTGGTCATGATGATGGGCTCGTTCGCCACCGGAGCTGCGGCCAGCAGTTTCCAGCTCATCCGCCAAGGCCCCGAGATCTCGGCCATGATGTTCGTCACCTACCTGTCCTTCGTCTCGCACGTGTCCCTCGCCAAGCAGGTGCGCCTCTTCTCCCCAGTGCACTTGGGGTGATGCTGACGAGGCGGCGCTGCGACTAGGGCTAACGTTTGCGGGGAGAGGTGGCTCGAACCGGGTGGCTTTGACGCAGGTGAAGCCCGAGCACGCCTGGATCGTGCTGCTGGTGCGCATCGTGGCCAACATCGTGTGCGCCGTCGGGCTGGAGCTGGCGTTCATCAACCCGACGCTGCTCGACTCGTTCCACGTGATGGCCTCGGCCCTGGTCGTGTTCGCGGGCTCCCTGCTCACTCTGCACATGCTCGTCTCCAACAGGCCCCAGTCAGGCCTCGTGCGCAGGCACCGCCTCCTACAGCTCTTCGCCTGACCCCCTCGAGATCCAGAGAGGATTTTACGCGCGCCATAGTTCAATACATCCGATTCGTTTATTTATCGATGGGACTGATAGTGTGCTTCGCTTCCCTTCCATCCGAGTGTTTGCATCGAGATCAGGTCGACGCATCGATAACTGGTTTGACCGCATGCGGTCGAGCCAATGAGGGCTGCCATATTGTGCTCGCTTGGCCGTACGGTCTCAGTAGCGGAAAAAGGGGCGGCGGACGGCGTTTTGCCTCTGAGTGCTTCACTATTCGGAATTAAAGCCGCTCGTCCTGGGAGTTTGCTATAATGGTTAAAGAGAAGCGAAGATTCGATGTTTCGAGTGTATTGCGGGGAAGTGTGCGCACAAGAGCTTTAGTGAGTGAAGCAGTAGCTATGCGAGTTTAAGCGTTTGTTGAATACCTCGAATCACCCTTGAACCGAAGAAGCGCAACGCCAGGCGAAACCAGGAACAAATAAAATAGTAACGGGGAAAACAAGTGGATATACGAGAGATTCAATTATGCGACCAACCGCACGAATGAAGCAATAAACGAGGACATTTTCAAAAATAAGCGAGTTCTGTTTGCGTCCAAATGGTCTTTCTTGATCGACCCGAAAGTGCGGACCGGAGCCCAAAAGCCCTGGTCGTGCCGAAAGACTACAGCTCCCACGATGCATGTCGGCAGCGGTGGCGCACTCAAACTAGTTGGTGAGATCGGTCTATTACACCACGCAGATATGCTTTGCGGATGTTTTCGTTTTGATTTAAACTCTTTGTGGCTAGTATCTGAATGCTCACATTCAATAAAACGTGCGGGTATATCCGTGGAAGAACATAAATACGCTCGTTCTAAACATTCCGCCCGTTTAATTCGTAGGAACAAAGGGGTAGGGAAATAGTTTCGTTTGTGTCTTCATACGCCTCAATTGCCCCTCGCATACCAAGGTACGGTGCATAAGAGAAACCTATCTTGTTGGATAATTGCTTTCTGGTTATGCTGAGGCCAAACCTGCTCCACTCGTAGTACCCTTCCAGGGCCCGTTTTCTCGAACGCGTACCGTGGTTTAAAGTTAACAATTGTCCCTAGAAGGGGGAATTCTAGGTCACGTGACTGGGGGGAGAGCAGGGGCGCCGAGGGAGGAGCAGTACCTACAAGCAAAATGGCCGCGACGTCGCTTAAGGAGGGCTAATAGTTCTGCTTGGTTCTGCTGAACATTTATTTCGATCCGGCTGTTATATTAATGACGCACCATCAACATATTAGCACGTCAAGCAAAGCGGTAGTTCAGAGGGACTACTAAACTAACCGACGGCAGCATTCCGCGAACGCATCACTCTTCAGCAGTCCGGGATCCAAGACATATGACGGTACATAAGCCTTGCAAGTGTTCTTATGGTGAGTAGAAAAATGCTTTGCGAACGAGTGTTGGTATATATTTATACTAACACGTTTAATTTGTTACACTGTGCACGCCAACTCGTGAGCAGCGATTACTTGGCGGAAAAAGGGGGGTTATCCTCGATAAAGTCTTCGTTCCGGGTGAACAGCTGGGACATTGTACTGTTTTTTTTTGTTGTTTTTTTTAGTTCGCAGGGCGCCGACAGTATGCCGACAGCATCGAGGTTTCTACATATCCCCGGTGGCCAGCAATTCAACGGTGACGAGAAGCTTAGCTTCTCGTCACCGATGGATCGGTTGGGCAAACGGAAGAGAGGGAAAACAGTTGAGATCAGCGGGAATGGCAGAAACTTGCGTCGCAAGGAACAAAAACGAGATGTTGCGCTTTTTGCACTCCCAGGAGACTTGGAAGAAGGAAGTGACGTCAACGACTAGAGCAAACGCCGATTGGATGTTGACAGAAGAAAACAAAATCAACATCCAATCTGCATTTGCTGCGTTTTAATGTTAACGTCACTTCCTACTCCCTAGTCTCCTGGTAGTGCAAAAAGCGCTACATAGCCCCCCTGCATCGGCGTTGCCAGACTGGAAGGCACACGGGAAAGTTATGCGTTGTTTATGGCGAAACATATTGAAGGAAATGTTTCTTACATTTTCGAATATTCGTCGACAAACTCTAGCATAGTAGCTAAAATTTCTTCGTACCATCTGAAGCAAATAAATCGGTCAAGTACAACATTACTATATTTTGACTTAAAATACCATACTATAGATCGATAACACCCAGCGGAAAAAGAGGATAAACAAAATGACTGGCTTGTTTCACCGACAGATGGCGCAATAATTATTTTTGAATGGAAATAATTTTTAACAACAATAATTATTTTTGAATGGGCAGTAACATGCCCATTCAAAAATAATTATTGTTGTTTTATATCCAGCCGTTTATTACAGTACCCAGGTACTTTTTCCTTCCTAGGCACCGTGGTTTACCAAAATGGGTTTACCATCGCTTCGAGAAAACCGGCCCAGGGGAGTTCTTTAGCCACACTGGATCCAGGTTGCCAAATTTAGTTTGAGCAAAGCTCAGTTTTGGGAGGGTCAAAGGAAACCCACTTATTAAAGTTTCCCGTCACATGGTTCGGGAATCTCTTTATCAACATCGTAAAATATTTCTTGTTCCAAACCAGTATGTCCTACGCAATAAAACATTATGTAAGTTTAGTGTTAGATATTTCTTTCCCTCCTACTAAAATCAAAGTGACCAAAATACAGCCAACATGATTGCTATGTTTTAGGGGGGTACATACGCCGATCCCCTTGGTCCGGACATAGCGCCGCCTGTCTCCTACGCGACCGACGCTCTACGCTGTGCCGTGCTGAGCTACGTGTCAAGGACGAGGGTGGCCGGCAAGGGCGCAACTCACCGAGTTGCCCAACGGGGTTCCATGATGTGAGCCGGGCCGGTGGTTACGACTTTGGTACTTGGTCGGGTCAGGGACACATGTAGTCGAGGTAACGTTCAGGCAAATTATCGGAGCAAGCTCCTTTGAGCCGCCCCATTTATTCACGCACTCAACAATGTTCCTCAAGGCACACCCAATCACAACTCTTATCTTGACTGTCACGATTCCGATAGGCGGTGAAATCTGCGCGCGCTAAGGAGAAATCCCTCGTGCCTAGAGCTCCTCGGTATGCTCCCCCGAAGGGGGAGCAGAGTTGCGCATTTCTTTTCCCCGTGCCGCTACGCCGCTATCGGGGTATCCACACGGAGGAGAAATCCGCCACTTTCCTCCGCGGAGCGTGCATCACGTGAGGCATACGTCATTCCTTTTTGACGCCTCGCGGCGCCGTTCTCCTCCGTGGCGGAGGCGCGGAGGCTTCGTACTGTTAGCACGAAAGCTCCGCAGGCGGGCGGCGGAGCCGAGGACGGAGTTTCCCGGGTTGTTGACGTCATGACATCCGTCCGCGGAGTTCCCCTTCGTGTGGATACCCCTTATGGAGGGCATTCACTGGGCGCCATATAAGGGGTATCCACACGAAGGAGAACTCCGCGGACGGATGTCGTGACGTCAACAACCCGGGAAACTCCGTCCCCGGCTCCGCCCCGTGCACCTGCGGAGTTTTCTTGCTTACAGCACGAAGCCTCCGCGCCTCCGCCACGGAGGAGAACGGGAGAACGGCGCCGCGAGGCGTCAAAAAGGGATGACGTATGTCTCACGTGATGCGCGCTCCGCGGAGGAAAGGAGCGGATTTCTCCTTGGTGTGGATTCCCCATTATGAGGGCGATGTTTAGAGCGCGTGCTCATAATGAGCTCACATTACTAGGCTGCTAAGGCCGGTTATCTTGATGGTGTGGAATGCACGTGACAAAAGAACTGTGGATACTCGCCGTCAGCACGCGGTCAGCAGTCGCGCACACAGCTATGGCCGCAAGTGAATACGGCCTAATTGCGGAGATCCATCACGTGAGGAGCAAAGCATCCGGCGCCGTGCAAGAAAGCCACCTTCATGGTCGCTCCGCCGGCGTTGTTCGCGCCCCGGCGTATGTTCACCCTGCTTTCGCCTCGTTCTCCTCTTCTTCTGGTTTCCATGCGGGGCCCCGCTATTAGCCAAATTTAGTCACGTGACGACCAAAGCATCTAGGGCGTGCAGGAAAGCCGGCGCTACGGCCACCCGCTGAGGCTGAATGTGCAACTCTGCTACCGTAGGTCGCTATATACAGGAACTCTACTCGTGCCGAGAGCGCAGCGCCATCTAGTGCTGCGTTGAAGTAAAAGGCAACGCCTACCCTTAACTCCCGTAGATGGCGCTAGCTTGCAACACTGCATTTCTTCTCTCCCTAAAATGACAGACGAAAACATCCTACCTCTCGTGAAGCCAACTGAAACGCTGTTCATGGAAGATACGTTGACACTACATTTCTCCTTTCCATGAATTAAAAATGTAAGGAGAACAATGCTTAGTTAGAAAGCTGAACTTTTCACTTCCTAATTTTTTTTCTACTCTCCTTCAAAAAATTCTTAACGTAGTCAATCTTAAGTTATGCTCAGAACAATGGTTAGTTGTAAGTTACGCTAGTTTGCCCAGAACATGGCGTAGACACTCTTTGCTTAACTGATTGGACAGTATTCTGGAGGAACATTAGGCTATACACTGCAACACTAACAGTGACGTAACATTTCGAAAAACTACGAGAACTCTTCGCAACACATGTCCGTTTTACACTGCATGTCCGTTAGAAAATTCTTTTTTAACAAAATACTTATTTGCGGTATGACACTGAGAATCAGATTCTGAAAACGCCTGTAACGGCACGTTATGCTCTTTCCAGATTACAATCTTTGACTTGCGTTATACACTTCCAAAGGACAAAACAGTCCTCTACAGTTTCTGAAAACGCTCAGACACTTGCGTTAGGCACTCTTATCTAATTATGCTTAGAAGTCTTAGTTAAACATCAAAAATCTCGCTAGACGTACTATGTGACGTATCATGAACAAAAGAAAGTACATAGTCTTTAAGTTTCTCGGGCAAGCGTCTTTGCCTTGTGGAACGTCTTGTTGTGGAGCTTGTTACTTGATTGTCCGTTTGTGATCGGTCATCA